TTCTGTAAGGGAAGGCAAAAGGCTCACTCTCCCTCTTATGAAAGATGGCCTCCCTGTTTATGTGTTTCCCACCACCACCATTGGCTTCCACACCACATGGTCCGACCCAGCCACTCAAGCCACGCTCTGGCTGTGGTGCTCCAGCCCCTCATGGCTCCTCCTAGAGGAGGCAGACAGCGCCGGAGGGAACCCCACTCGCACCATACCGCCAGTGGGGCATTTTTGAAAGCAAACGAGGATAGGAATGGCAACAATAGGAAAAGAACGCAACTCTGGAAAATCCATCGAAAAAAGGTGTTGGAACTCTGTTCCGGTGTGTTCTATGACAAAAAAAAGCCCTGATTATAGTTATACTTCATATTTCTTAACTGCCTGCTTCCCTCCTTTATACCTTGCCATTATTTCGGTATCCATCAAGACATATATAGAATCCTCCCACCTTCTTCCCCCCCCCACAACAATCACCCTGTCTGATGGTTGGGTGCAAGGAAGTGATTGACCTGAAGGCATTCAGCCATCTTCTCTGCCCATGGGAGGACTAGAACTCATGGTGTCCTAGTTTCCTCTCCAAGATCTTCTTCAGATCAAATTAAGGAGATGTTATTGTTCCCATCAAAGGCACTCCTATTCTCAGTGCTCAGGGATTGTGCTTTGCAACTCTACCAGTGATGTCCTGTCCCTTTTTATGCAAAGCACCCAGGAGACAAGTGTTAAAAAAAAGAAAGGATAGGATTTCAATAAATAGCAAAAACTACCTTGGTCTTTTTTTATCATCTTCAACAGACATCCCTGGATAAGATTCTGCATTAAAGGAGGAAAGAAGAGGGAATAAAATCTGGGAGGCCATGTTTTGTGGCTGCAGCTCATAAACCTTTCCAATCAAAATACGATAGGAGGGGACCTAAAGGTGAGTGTTCTTGGTGGCTATCCCCTTCCTTTACAGCCCTTACCTGTAAAGCAAGAATGGCCCTTCTCTTTGATGTCTTTCAGTGATTTGGAGATTTTCAAGAAGAGACTGGATAGCCATTTGCTTGAGCAGGGGGTTGGACTAGAAGACCTCCAAGGTCCCTTCCAACCCTATTATTCTATGTTCTATGGGATTTCTCCAGAGTTCTTAGACTGAGCAGCCTAAAAAAAGATCTGAGTCTTTATTGTTTCTTATTGCTTATAGTTTTATTGTTTCTTTATTTTTTTGTTTTTCATACTCCTAGAGCCTCTGGAGTGAGGGAACGTATAAATCATATAAATAACCAAAATCAATACAATAAACTTGCCCCACTCGCTACTATAAGAAGGAACACATGGTTGTTCTCCAAGATCACCTGATCTGGATATCTGCACCCACATGAACTGCAGGTACTTCCTTCCTCCAGCCAATGGCTCTAATACAGGGTCTCCACAGAGTATGGTCAAAAAGGTCAAGATGGTGGCTACAATTTTACAATCAAAACTCTGCCCATTTTTTATGTGCACGTAACACCCTTGTTGCCATAACTGGGATAGGAGAGAATGTGGGTTTGGTGAGCTCTGCTTCTGGCATAAAGCAGAAACGAATTTCCTTGGGGGTGAAATTCCTGCAATTCCTGCAATTGGATGCCAGACTGGTCTAACTGTGCCGGCCTTTCAGGGAAGGTTTGCTACCTGTTTTACTTTTCTGCTTGCCTATTTTCCACATCACTTCACTTTAGCTCCTAAAGAGGCTGGGCAGAAACCCATTTGTGAAGACCTTATCTGTACATGGGAAGAGAATGGAAGTAACTAATCCAGCCAGAAGTCAGAGCATAAATCTTTGAACTATGTGTTGCCAGCTGCTGCATCATTTAAAAATAGTGTGGTGCCAATAAGACAGATCATTCCACAGGGGGGCCATAAACAGAAATCAAAGGTATGCGCCAGGACCCTGATTGCAGTCCAGCCTTATCCCCTGGGCCCCCCATCACAGTCCACTTCTGCTTTACACTATTATGGGTATCCCCCCTGGATTTCTCTGCTGTCAGACACTGATTTCTCCCTGGCCAGGAAGGCACCAACTGTTTTTTGTTTCATAGAAGTCTGGTGGCACCTACTGATCTTTTCAGGTTTGACATTGCGCTGAGGCATTGCTGTAGCTTGACACAAGTAACTGTTTTAGGAGGCATTTGAAGTGCTTCCTCTTTACAATCATGGAGATTGGATGGTTGTCCAAATTAATATATAACTTCTCAGTGTTTTCCCCTCTGTAAAACCACAGTGACATTTTCTTTAATACAGTACTATAACATACATGCTGGGGCAGTTGTTGAGGAATCTTTTCATTATGCTGAAGATTTTGATCACAGTACCACAAAGGATTGTCTCCATCCTATGTGTGCTTTCAGACTCCTGGCAACTACTTGGTCAAATCCATGCAGTTTTCTTGGCAATGTTTTCAGAAGTGGTTTCCTGTTCTTTTCTTCTTCCTGAGGCTGAGAGCAGGGGACTGGCCTAGAGTCCTCCAGCTGGTATTGCACCTAAAACTGGACTAGAATTTAGAGTCTCCTCATTTCTAGCCTGGCACTTTTAACTACTATTATATCTCATGAGCATCCAACATTGACCATTGTTATCTTTATTTCCTTTCCTATTTGTGTTCTAATATTAGATGTTGCTTATAAGTGAGAAAACTATCTCCAATCACTGCCCCTAATGTGAGATGGGGTAATTAGCATAATCAGGTAGTTGAATGATGTATTTAGCCACCTGTTACATTGTCAGATCTGACAGTTTGCAAGCCTGGAAGTGTTCTGGATACCTGACCTGTCAGCTGGATGATTTCTGAATACAAGTCTAGCACTCTTCTGAAAGAGCACTAAATTTGTGTCCCCAAATTATCTGGTTGACAAGCTGCAGTCAAGAAAGAGGAATGAAGGATGAAGGGGGAAGGAAGGATCAATAAGGAGCAAGTTTAACCCTCAAATAGGAATGGTTGAAATCAACATTTGGTACCACACAGCCTTTGTCCTTTAGCAATATAGCACTATTTTTTAAAAAATGCAGGTTTAGTGCTTCTTTAAAAAAACACTAAATACATGTTTACAAGGAGGCTGCGTAAGATCTGAGAAATGTTTTGAAAAACTCCATTCAAGCATGCAGTGGAGCTCTCTGCAGCAGCCAATGTCCATTCTCTCCTGCAGTCCAAGCCAAAACTGTCATGGGCCTGTTCCCAGAGAGGAAATGTTATGCTTGTAGTATATTCAGTGGCCAGTAGGAATTGAATAAATCTCAGTACAGACTCTGTCAGAAACCTCATTGTTGATAAAGCTAGATCATGTCCATGACAAACATTGTATTGAAGGAAAAGAGAAAACACTAATGAAGGCTAAAAACAACTTTTAATGCCTAAGCTGCGGATTGGGAATAAGACAAAATGATGTAGTGAGGGTATGGTATAAAAATGGTCACTGGGGTATGTTTGTACTGCAGTTAAGGTGATATGAGAGTTTGCCCTTGTAGCAGTTTCTAGACTCATTGTGCCAAAATAACAGCAATAAGAATGGGCTTTATATCACTTCAATGATAGCTGAGTGAGGCCAACAAGATGCTGTAGGTCTTTAGTAAGGAAGTAGCCAGAGATAGAAAGCATATCATGTCAGAATGGGACTGCAAAAATCTTGATTTGCAAAGTATCTCATCGATTCCTCCTCTGGATTTCTGTAGTCCATATCTGGTAGCCTTAACAAAGTATCCCAAGAATCCGGGCCCAAACCCAAAGTCCTTGGGACAGACTGTTATTTTGCATAAAGCAGCTGATGTAGTCTACTTGATTCTTGCAACAGACAACTGGCTCACATTTGGCTTGTGGCTGAAAAATTGGGTACATCACTCTTGATATTAAATTGAATTGGGTAGAGATTAAGGAGAGTGATAGCCTACACAACTGTAGGAAAATTGGTTGCACAATGCTGTGCTAATACTCATATAGCTAGACACAGATAACTGTTTTTCTTCTTTTCAATGTGGACAAATTCAATGTATTTATTCAATTAATCTGTTGAAACAGGTATTCTCCAACTTTGTACAAATATTTGTGGTTCACAAACCATAATCATAATAAGAAATGCTAATCGTGTTAAATGCTTGCAAGAAGAAAAAGTAAGAAAACTATATTTCAGTGGTGTATTTCATCATGCAAAAAATCTCAGAGTTTATCTCCTATATTTCTGCTGCTAATTTCTATTTTAAATTTATTCAGATATTTTTAGATTTTTTTATTGCTTGTTGTTTTACATTATGCTACTTTTAATTTATTGTTTTACTATGTGGATTTTGGTCTGATCTGTATGCATTTGGCTTTTCTTTGCTTTCTAATGTATTATCTGGGGGGGGCTAGCAAATCTAGGCAATAAAAATAATTAATATTTTTGGGGAGGACTCTGCAGATGGAGTTTCAGGGGAGACTCTGCGCAAACAAATTGCATGCCTTGGCATGTTCTCAGCAATTGGAGAAGCTTTCCACCTTTGGCCCAGGGTATATTTTGGCCTTTCAGTTTGCAAAAGAGTCTGGATGGGGCTCAGAGCCAAAGGAATACCGGAGATCCCAGCATACATTAGCTATGATATGAGAGACGTTCTTCTAGTAAAACGCATAGTCATTAATCAGTCCAACTTCTATTCATGTTATTGGCACACCCCTAGGTCAATTCCCATGGGCACTCATGAAACATTTATCCCATGAGATCAGACAGCATGAATAATCACAGGAATCTGGCTTTAAGTGAAGCTATGGCAGGGTTGTCAATCAGTACTATGTCAGGACACTAAATTAAAGGTCATGCGATATGCGATGTTAACTTTTCCCTCCCCCAAATATTCTGGATCCAGTTATGAATTTTCAGCTGGGAAAAATGTGTTAAATCTACCACATACGTGCATGTGGGCCTACACAGCATGTGTAAAATGTCCCTCTGGTTAATGTAATTGAAAGTAACCCCTAAAACAGGTGTTAATGGTCCTTTCCCAATCTCAAAGGAGGGGAAGAGCACAGTGGTAACAGGCAACAACCTGAACCCAGCTCCTCTGAGTTCAGAAAGGAGATACCCTTTATATTGTGAATGATTTAACTTCCACAAAAGCAATTTGTTACCAAGAACTGGACCTTGAAATGCAGGTAAGAATAACAGAAACTTCATTTTCCCAGCCTTGTGCTTTCCAGATGTTTCAATCTAACAATTCCAGTCCTGGGAATGATGGGAACTGAATCCAACAGAAGAACATTAGAATGAGGAAGACTGCATTGGGTTCCTTGCCCCTGCCCAACCCACTCCCCCAACCTTTAGATTTAATTCCATATTTCTAGCTTCCTCAAATTTCTAGTCCTCCAAATGTGTTGGGATTACAGTTCCTAGACTGGCTTTCTTCAATGGAAGGTTAACATATTATGAGAAAATGTCTCATTTGACTTGCTTTTGTGTTTGTGGATGACCTACTATACTTTGATGATTTCATACTATGGTTTCTTTTCTTCCTATGTATTGCCTTAGTTGTCTTCCTTATCAGGATCCATACCTGTTGTTTATATTAACTTATCAGTCTCTGTTTTATTCCTCCTAAGGAGCTCCCATCTGGGTAGCCACACAATGTCAGCCCTACACATAGACCAGATCAGGAAAATAATTACACATAGATAATAGACCTACACTTTTTTTGAGATAGGCTACTATAAAAGAATCTGTTTTTCTTTCCTCTTATGAAGAAAGTGAGTATCTTTCTAATTCTATGTGTGACACTCTATGAAAGTGAAAGTTGGACTTTGAAGAAGCAGAATAGGAAGAGTGTTGATGCCTTTGAACTTTGGTGTTTAAGAAGACTTCTGAAAAGGTCATGGATAGAGAAAGAAAACAAATTGATCATCAAACAAATCAACCCAAAATTCTCACTTGAGGCACAAATGATGAGACACAAATTATCCCACTTTGGACCTGTCTTTCTAGAGAAGACTATATTTCTGGAAAAGGTTGAGGGAAAGAGAAGAAGACTATGACCAGGAGCAAGGTAGGATGGAGTCATTAATAGTGATCAGTAGCAATGAGTGCACTGTTGGAAGACACTGAAAAATCAAATTAGGGTCTGGTCATCGTGATCTGGCTACCAGATCATTATGGAGAAAATCTAGCTAAGTGGTCATTAAGAATCAGCACCAACTGAATAGGTGAAGAGGAGGAGAGGAGAAGGAGGTGAAGGAGGAGGAGGAAGAAGATCAAATAAAAAACACTCTGTGTGTTTTCACTCAGGAAAAAGAGTCAAAAGGAAGTGACCTTAGAATAGCAAATGCTTAGACAAAGACAGGCAGAGAATAATAGACAAAGAGAGGACCCAAATTGGTAAATTTTAAATAACGCTCTATTCTCTTTAGGTGGTTGGCAGATTATTTATTCATTAATTGATTTGTATTTGTATACATAGCTGCTCATCTCAGATGAAAGTGACTCTGTTTTTGTTTATATTTGTGTCTGATTCTTGGATAGCCCTGCAGTTTTCTTGGCAAGGAAGCACTTAATTAAAAACAACAACAAATACATAAAAAAACATTCTCAATTTAAAAAAACCAAACTACCGGCTCAGAAATTTGATCAGGCTGTCACAGTTTTTATTTTGTTGTTTACTTCTTTTTCTTCTTATCTGCTAACTAACATTATTCAACAGAAGAATCCTTCGCATGTGTGTGTGTGTAGAAATTATCTCCTTAGTTTCAAGTCTCTGGTTTCTCTTCCAAACTGAAAAGCACTCACTATCCCAAGTTGGCTATTGGATGAAACGATAGCTAAATCTCATTGCTGTGATGCAGATGCTGCTGTCCTCCTATACAATATGCGTGTGGGGGGTCAACATGACTTTTTCTTTGGCTTATAAACACGCTTGGGGCATGTTCCCTTTGTCCATTATTAAAATGGAATGCTTCAAGTAGCTGGATTTTTGCTGGCTCTGACTTACAGTAACGGCAGACACATTGGTGAACATCTGAAATTAAGTCATTGTGTCTGAAAGTGAAAGGTTTAGCAGTCGTATCAATTTATGTGCCCGGCAGTTTTATAATTTAGGAGGCTCCTCTTGTAAAAGGCTTTAAACCCATCTGCAAAAATAGGCTTCTTAGTCCCTTGAGTCCAGCCTAGGATTAGAAGTTTGCAGTTTATGACTCATACCTCCTAATTCAAACTGGTTTGATTGCCATGTCTCAATTTCACATTCTTTACACTTCCCTGTTTAGCTGCTTTTCTCTCTCTCTTTTACTCTTTTACTGTTTACTTTTATAAAGTTTATATCCCACCTTTCTAGGTGTTTCATGAAATACATAAAGATGCCCAGACCCATCTTCTCTCTTCAGTTATGGTGTGTATTCAGCCACAAAAATAAACTTCAATATAATTCTAAATTTACCTGCAGTAGGTTTGTGTTAAGGACTTTATCATTATATAATCCTGTTTGCTGCCAAAAAAAGCCAACACAGTGCTGGGCTGCATTAACAGAGGGATAGAATCAAGATCACGTGAAGTATTAATACCACTTTACAATGCCTTGGTAAGGCCATACTTGGAATACTGCGTTCAGTTTTGCTCACCATAATGTAAAAAATATGTTGAGACTCTAGAAAGAGTACAGAGAAGAGCAACAAAGATGATTAGGGGACTGGAGGCTAAAACATATAAGGAACGGTTGCTGGAATTGGGTATGTCTAGTTTAACAAAGAGAAGGACGAGGGGGGACATGATAGCAGTGTTCCAATATCTCAGGGGCTGCCACAAAGAAGAGGGAGTCAAGCTATTTTCCATGGCGCCTGAAGGCAGGACAAGAAGCAACGGATGGAAACTGATCAAGGAGAGAAGCAACTTAGAACTAAGGAGAAACTTCCTGACAGAACAATTAACCAGTGGAATAACCTGCCTCCAGAAACAGTGAATGCTCCAACACTGGAAGATTTTAAGAAGAGACTGGACAGCCATTTGTCTGAAATGGTGTAGGGTTCCTGCCTGAGCAGGGAGTTGGACTCGATGACCTGCAAGGTCCCTTCCAACTTTATTATTACTACTACTACTACTACTACTACTACTACTACTACTACTATTATTATTATTATTATTATTATTATTATTATTATTATTATTATTATTATTATTATTATTATTATTATTATTATTATTATTGAATTACGAATACCAAATGGAGCCTGAAGAAGCACAAACCAGATATGTCATTAATTGCACAAATATAATCTCAACTTTTGTTTTTGAAGTTTAAGTAACAGCGCAGAGACACCATTACTATACTCTGTTAGGAGCGTTAGAAAGTTCAGGTGGAACCATCTGCTTCCTGAAAGATATTAGCATTGCTGGTGCCTAAAAAATTCCCTCCTAGGGCTAATAGCAGAGTGAACAGAATCTGGTATTAGAACACTAGAATGGGGAGAAATGGTTAAACCTACTGTTTCTAGCTGTAGTCCTGAATGTGACTGAGCCCTGTGGCTATTTAAATGCTAACCACAGAGCACATTTATTGAATTAATATAGTTACTATTTATTACATATAGTTACACTGCCATTAACTATGCAATTAATCTCATTCACAGCTTAGTAACATAGTTACATCCTTCAGATAAATTAGGGAAAGCCCTATTGAAGGCATTATTAAAGGCAAAGGAAATATGCATTTAGAACAGGGGTGTCAAACTCAATTTCATTGAGGACCACATCAGCATTGCGGTTGCCCTCAGGGGGCCGGGTGGGTGTGGCCAGGGTTGGTGCGGCCTACTGGGTGGGTGTGGATGGAGTGGGTGTGGCCAGGGTGGGCGTGGCCAGCTCTATATCATTCGCGTCAAGGTTTGCTGATAGGCTGGAAAAATTGAGCTCCAAAAATTGAGTGATTGTTCATTAATATTTCTAAGACAGAAATGTAAAAGAAGTATTAACCTGATACAATTTAGTGTAAAAAAAAGTCTAAATTCACATAAAAATTGATAGGATCTGTGTTGGAGGTAACTAACCAGGAAAAGAGAGGCCTCAGTCAAAATGGTGATTTAGTGTACAACTGTTGTTAAAAACTCATGGATGCCATCATTGCAAAAGAAACTGGAACTAAAACTGCCAATATGATAGTTTATTTATATACATCATTTATATCCCACCACAAACATATAGAGTCTCAGTGGCTCACATCATAAAGAACAATAACAACAATAAACTTTACAATATATAAACCTACAATAAAAAAAATGAACAAAACTACATTCCAGGCAGCATTTGGCGTCATCCTCAAATGCCAATTTGCAATAGATCCCTTTTAAGAAGCTTCCAGAAAGCAAATAGAGTTTGGGCCAAATCTGCTTGTCATGAGGGGCTATTATGGTGTGCCTACTCTTAGAGATTTATGCAAAATTCTGGTTACAAATTATTCAAAAAGTATACAGATCTGATCAAGATACAGCAAATGGCTTTTTTGTTTGAGGGGTCCATGGTGTTCTCTGAGCTTAGTTATTTTCTTGCAGATGTTTCATTACCCAAACTAGGCAACATCATCAGTCCTAGTATAGGGGTTAAGAAAAGTCTGCAAGAAAACAACTAAGCTCAGAGAGCACCAAGGACCTCTAGTTTTAACCATGACCTACAAATATTCTCCTTTATTAGCTTTGTAGCTTAGAGAAAAGTTAAGTAAAAGAATATGATGGATCTTTCTCAGGCATGACTCCATGTCTCTGGAAGAACATTCCTCCAAGGATTAGACTGGTTCCCACCATATTCCAGAATGGCACAGTGGTTAGAATGCAATACTGCAGGCTAACTCACTGCTCACTCCAGGAGTTCAGTTCTGAATGGCTCAAGGTTCACTCAGCCTTTCATCCTTCTGAGGTCAGTAAAATGAGGGCCCACACTGTTGGGGGCAATAGGCTGACTCTATAAACCACTTAGAGATGGTTGTAAAGCACTGTGAAGCAGTATATAAGTCTAAGTGCTATTGCTATTTTAAGAGTAGATTTATGTTAAAGGAGGATTGTATTGCTCTGTATTTGGGTGTTGTTGCTGTTCCTCAGGGCATAGTAGTATTGTTTTGTTTCCATTTTGTCACTGATGTTATTTTAATACCATTACTGTAAGTCACTTGAAGTTCTATTTGGATTAGAGTGACATACCAGTTGCAGGGAATAAATAAATATAAAATTATGCACACCAAAACCAACGTGGGCTAGGTTCTCTCAAGATTTCAGTAATCTTGTGGGACCTGGCATCAGAACAGCAAAATCTCCTGAGACCTTCCTGAAATCTCACGGTAGTCTCATTCAGTTTTTAAAATATCTAGACAATTACTGTATTGTGCAAGTCCAAAGGAGTCCTGAGCTAGAAAAGTTGTCAGTCTCTAAAGTTGACAAAATCAAGATGTGATAATGATTACTAAACTGAATGTGTTCAAAAGTAGATTAGAGAAATCAGGGCATACAAGATTGTAACAGGCTACTGCTTATGCTTCTCAGTAAGATGGTACAATTGTACTTATATCCTACAGATGGTTGATCAAATAACAGCAGATCCCACCTCCCCCCACTCCACCCCCTGCCCTCCCCATGTATCCTTAGGTTTTAATGTTTGATTTTAATTATTTATGTTTCAATTGTATATGTATAGACATATCTTTATGACTGTAAGCTCCTCAGAGTTATCCTATGGTAAGATGACCAATACATTTGATAAACAAACAAACAAACAAACAAATACAATAAATACAATAAATAAATAGATAAACAAAAATAAATAAATAAATAAATGGGCTTTTCTTAGGTCTTTGGTTGGCCATCATGATCTAATGTACTTGTTTCTTTCTTATGATCTTATTTCTAACTGGCATTACATTCAGCCTTCAGGCAGTGAAACAGAAGCACAAAGAATAGCTGGGAAGTACTGGCCAAGACTGTGCTATGACAATTGTGAAGAAGTGACTCAGAGAAAGATGGGAATGTTGAGCCATTACAGAAAAAATATATATGGGAAAGTAGAAAGTGAGAGAAAGAAACTCCAAATAACTTTATCTTACTTTGTGTTATGTATAAGTTGAAGTAGAATCACATTCCAAGCAATTCCTGTTTCTTGACCTTGTCTGGCCAAAGAGGAAACCCTGCAGCACAGGTAAGGCATAGATTCTTAACTACATGAATCTATCAGCAGGAACATTGAATTAACATTGTGAATAAATGTGAGAAGACTTGATAAGACTATGAGATAAAACCACAAATCCTGTACAACAAATCTTGAGAACCTGGGCAATAGGAGGCTATTTTTCCTGAAATAAAACACTCTCCTGCTGACAATAATGGAAATTGTGTTAAAACCATAATTTAATAACAAAGAGATTAAAAGTATGGCATTGGGCAAGAGTATTTTATATATAGTCCACATATGTTTTCACCCTTGTCCGAATATAAGCAGAAAGTCAGGAAGGAGGCATTTAAACTCAGCTGTTGCTCCTTCCACCATCAGCATTTTTGCTGCCTGCAGGATGATCCCTTCCTTCACTTGCACACACAACAGCCTGATTCATCCCACAATGCCAGCATTTGTGTCTGGTTTTTGGATTTCATTAGTCATCTCAGAAGTATTTAAACTTGTGGTGAGCACTTACAAGTGCTATAGCAAAAAAAGAAAGAAAAAAGATGAATAACAGCGAGACAATAGATTTGCCAGCAAGGCTAATGAGACATAATCACCAAAGTAAGGGGAAGAATAGATATGTGTATATGTGTGCACGTTACATAAATATGTAAAATCGTCTCAGATCCACATAATAAGATACCAGCTAAAGCAGGGGTAGTCAACCTTGGCTCTTTAAAGTCCACGAGTCATAAAAGAGCCAAGGTTGACTACCCCTGAGCTAAAGACTACTTTTATTCCAAATGTGCCTATTCTATAGGTAGTCCTCGAATTACAACAATTCGCTTAATGACCAAAGTTACAACATCATTGAAAAAAAATGACTTATGACTATTTTTCACACTTATAACCGTTGCAGCATCCCTATGGTCACATGATCAAAATTCGGACGCTTGGCAATTGACTCATATTTATGACGGTTTGCAGTGTCCCTGGGTCACATGATCCCCTTTTGTGACCTTCTGACAAGCAAAGTCAATGGGGAAGCCAGATTTACTTGTGTTAAATTGTGTTAACAAATGCAGTGATTTACTTAACAACTGTGGCAAGAAAGATCATAAAATGGGCAAAGCTCACTTAACAAATATCTCACGTAGCAACAGAAATTTGGGGCTCACTTGTGGTTGTATGCCGAGGACTACCTATATGTAAGTTTTAACATATTTAACATATCTGGCCCCCTTTCTGAATTTCATTGCATATAGGCCTGCCATGAAAGATAGTCAGAAATTGTGAATGTTTCAGAGTATGGGGATTCGTTTGCTGCTGCAGCTGCATATTTTCCAGAATTTCCCATGCACAGGGACACTCTTGGTTACTTGTAAGTACAAACAGTGCTGGAGGGCTAGCACAAGAGGCCTTCTCCCAGGGTGCAGGCAGGCTATAAGGATCTCTGCTGATTGCAAGAGAAATCTCGCTTTGCAGTGTTTGCTCTGTGATTTGATGCGCAAGGGAGAAGACGGGGGAGGGGAGGGGGGGAGGAGACGATGCAGGAATGTCTTTCTGTCAGGAAAGTGATGTAGATTGGGCAAAGAATCCAGGAAGCAACACATGGATGTTAATATTGGGGAGGGAGAGGAAGATTGCTTAGCCCTGAAAGACCTTTGTTTTGATTCACCAGACTTTTTGTAGGCTCCTAATATGAACAATTGCGGCATTTGGAACTAGCTTCATAAATGGGTTCTGGCTTCTTCATCCAGGCAGCTGACAGGGTCCCACCAGAGCAACTGCTGATGCCACTTATGGGCCGGCTGCGTCAGATGGCTGAGCACAGAAGACTCTTGCTCTTTTAATTGCCTGATATAGCATTGCTGTGGGACACTATGAGCGGCTAGAGATAGACTGTAACATTCCTGCTGACAGTTACGTCCAACTGGGCTGTTCACAGCATACTGAAGTGGCACTACTTTATAGTGGGAACCTGAGCTTTCTTGTAAACACTAATTTTAACAGAATACAAACTTAAGATTTGAATGGAGATAATTATAAAATGTAAACACTTTCTTGAGTGTCCTGGTGCCTATATGCACATCCATATCATTCACTTTGGCAAAAATGCAGAAGTTATTTGCTTATTGCCTTCTTTCGGGATGAGTTGTCAACTCCCTAGTCCAGTGTTTTTCAACCTTGACAACTTTAAGACATGTGGACCAACTCCTAGAATTCCCCAGCCAGGCTGCCCTAGTCTAATCTCTAATCTTGGAATTTTTTAGTAGCCACCCTTTTGGACAGGGCTGGATAGGTGCTGCCATCTACTGCAGACAGCATCTTGTTTCTCTTCATTTTGCACTTCTTTGTGAGTTTGTGTGTTTAAAACTGAATCAGCCATAGAAACAGAGTACATAAAAAGATATGTTACTCTGGAACCTTTTAGAATTTAGGCTCAATCTTTGGGGTAAAGGTGAGTTAATCCCACACTTAGCAGCTTCCATGGCACAGTTGCTTGGAACCAAAGTGTGAACTGGATCTATTTGGAGTTCATTCAAACCTTTTGATTTGGTTAGCTGACACTTTTTTAATGTTTGCTAAAACACCATTTCCATTCATTTAGCTGTGCCGTTGAATCTTGAAATCTATAGCAAAGGAAATTCTTACAACAAGGTTCATCATAAAGGTGCACATCCATACAAGAGGAAATTGATCAAGCTCATAGATATAGTTGTGATGTTTGAAATACCCAGGTGGCCTTTCAACAGTTTCTGTCTAATTTCTGGGCACAGATTAAATAGATGATTTCTCTGAATAGAGAAGGAGAAATTTTCAACCATTTCTTAAGCACAGGAAGTCTCCCCTATAGTGGTTCCAGCAGCACCACTAAGAAGAAAGTACTATGAAAGTCACTTTTCTCCCCTGTCTTCCCTTAGGATTTAGTGGTAGGAAGAGAAGTCAAGGTTGTTATCAGCTAAGGGATGATTATAGAATGAAAAGAGGACATTCTTGCCCACACCCTGGCTATCTGGTAAGAAAATCAGCATAAGAAGACCACATCTAGCCAAGAACATTTTACCCCAAAATCTCTTATTTTATGTGTACCCATAAAAATATGCAGGATAATATCTAATAATTCAGAACATAATATAAGGTTTTAGCTGGTTATGGCATTGCAATAAGTATATGGTTGGATAAATTTAGGAGGACTAGAAGCAAGACACATACCAGGAAAACACAAATAATAGGTCATTTCTGTCAAAATAATTGTTTTCAGAATCTGTGGATGAAATGTGGAGAATCTTCTGCTGAAATGTCTTCTTTTCTATTACAGTTTCACGAATCAACTAGGAAAATGCTATGGACAATGCTGACCTCTGCAGAATGACAGTGGGAAACCAGCTGTGAAGCCACTGCTACTAGCCCATTATCTGGCCTTTGTCATGTGCTCTACAACAATTACATCTATATTCTTTAAAGGAGGTATTAAAACAATTATAAAGTGTCATTTCATTTATGATCTACAGTGTGCCGGGATCAGAGGAGTAAGTCTCTGCATCCTTCTCACAACCAAAATTTGTAGTTCAGAGACCCCATTTTTTTTCTCCCTCACAGATGAGTTTCAATAACAGAAAAAGTGAATGATATGATGGGAAGATGCATAAAATATGGGAGAGAGGGTCATATGGTTCCCAACAACTTTCTTTGGCATGCTGCTTCCATAATAAAAGCCTCATCTGGAAGCACTCTCTGAAGACTGGCTGGTGGGGAACATGAATGGGAAATTGTTACAATCTTCATGTCCCAGTGACATCTACTTGATCATTGTGGGAACTGAATGCTGAGATAAACATCCCACTTAATCCAGGAAGAGCATTTTTATATTTATTCCCTGAGAGCCTCAGTTTGAGATGTATCCATTCCAGTACTGAGATGGCTTTGTACTGATGGACATCTTAGACCAGGGGGGCACAACCCACTGGCCTCAGACTTCTAGTGGTGACCAAGAGGTTATGAAAATTATACTATGTAAATTCACTTGCAAAAGGGCAAGTAGCAAAAGTCTGATTTTTCAAAATAAAAGCAAAGTAAATGTATGCAACTATTTAAATAAACTTAATTTATATATTAATTTGCTATGACAGTTCCACCCGCTTTAACATTCTGTCATCAGACTTTGAAGAATTGCCCACTCAAAACCTAGCAAACTTAATTTATATGCAAATAGCATGTTATTCGTAGTCTTTTTTTTTTTTTTTGCTTTAGGGGAATCATAAAGATATTCTGGTTCAGCCTTCCTCAACCTGAGTATATTTCTGTGAATATTTTGATTTCCAGAATTCTCATCCATGGTCAAAAATTAAAAATCTTTTAAATGTATACATGGGAGCCTCCAGAAGTTCCTGATTGTGTGCCATGTAACTTTTTGGCCCATCAGTTTTGTAGAGGTTCTGGTTAAAGTCAGGCCTCCAGGTGTGGTAGACAGTGATATAAAATTGATATAAAATTGATTTGAAGGCACAAATATATATGCAGACTGTCTAAACCAGGGCTTTTCAACCTTTTCACCCATTGTACCACTTTTAGGATATGGCAATATCCGAGTACCACCAGTCGCCTAGCAAGGTGTCAAAAACTTGATGACCCCAAAAAAAAAAAAAGGAAAACAGTGATCAAGTACAGGTAGTCCTTGACTTACAACAGTTCGCTTAGTGACTGTTTGAAGTTACAATGGCACTGAAAAAAGTGCCCCCAAGGCACAGCCGAGCAAGACACCTGCCTGCCCACCAGGCAGCGCTCTCATTCCCCTCCCCCGCTACCACTTTTCTAGGATGGTCGCGTACCACCTGCCAGGTGCCAATGTACCACAGGTGGTACCCGTACCACTGGTTGAAAAGCCCTGGTCTAAATAAGTCTCTGCAGTTTTTCTGGCAATGTTTCAGAAATGGTTTGCCATCGCCATCTTCTTTTTAGCACAAGCTCACCTGGTTTCTAGCCCTGTGCCTTGACCACTACCCTACACTTGCTCTTATACATCACTGCCCAAAATAGAAAGATTTAGCCACCGGAATGTTTTTATTCAGGGAATGGGAAAGGATGGCACCTTGATCTTTCCCTGAGCCTGCCCAGAGCCAGTGGTCTTCCAGGGGCTCTTTCCCCTTACGTTGCAACTGCACTTCTACTTTGTTCCCCTTGTGCACTTTCTTCATAAGCATTGCTCTGGACCCTGAAATCTGAGTCTTTGCTTAGTCCGATTTTCACTCTCCACACTCTTCACTCAGAGTGGCTGCTGCACTTCACCTCACAACAAGGACAACCTGGGACCGTCTTGGACATGTGCATCTTCTTTTCTTTCATGATAGATCATGTAAAGTTGTTTGGATAAAGACAGACATAGGTAACAGGGGAACAAAGTAGATGGACAATTTCAACCAAGACCAGGAGTGAGCTAACATATCTGCTGGCTTGACTTAATAGGTCTGTGAAAAACCTGATTTGTTCTCTTAGCCTGACTTCATCATACTCAAGAAACTCCAGTATTCAGCAGTGGGCCAAACCAGAATCTTCTCCTTTGTTTGTCTTGGCCTACCATGCTTCTTTATAAAGAAAATGGTCAAAGTGAAGTACTTCCCCTGTGTATTTTGACAGGAAGCCTCAGTAATATGTTTTCCTTTTATTGTATATCTTGCTCTTTTTCTTCAGCCCTGTTCAAATATTTTCTAGCACAATGACATATTTATTAACCCGCCACTCACTCCATGAGGCAAGGCTTTGATTGGCTTTTGGTAAAGGGTTCCTGAAAAGCGGAGGTTGCCCCCACCCCTGCTGTCTCCAATAAGAGTTAATATTATTACTGCTATTTGTGTCAAACGCTGGAGAACAAGCACTTTTAAAAATGGGGCCCGTTTATTTAAAACAGCTGGGCAAAAGAACATGAAGGCCCAGCTAGAGTCGTCAGGTCAGAGGTCAGGGGTAACACCAATCTCTGCAGAACTTTGAAGCTGACATTTTACAGATTATATGTGGCTCACTGCACAGTGGGCATGGCGTATATATGAGGCTGAGGACTCCTGATTTGTCCTTTGGATTTTTATGAGTCCACAACATTGTTCTTTGAAGCAGCGCATACGGGAAAAATAATACTAATACTAATAAAAAGTTGCTTCAATGCTATTAAGCTATTTAAAGTAAATCAAGTGAGAGCTTCCTGGAAAGATGGCTGCACTATGAGATAATGTTTTAGTTCTTCCCCTTCTTTAAAGCTTTCCTTTTTTTCCCATTGATCCTTTGCTTTCCCATCCAATACAACATTCTTCTTTGTTCTGCCTTCTACATATATTAGGGTTTTAATAATAATAATAAAAACCTGAGATTGTTGGGATGTACATTTGAATCCCACCATGCTTTTTTTTCTGACTGCATTCTGTTATTGCTTTCCCCAGGATGACCTACAAGACCTTGCCAGCTTCAATCTTTTGGGCAGCCATCGACTAAGGTGAGTGCACAAAGAAAAAATGATGTAATGCAAATAGAAACATTGGGATTGATGGTTTTGGGGAGAAGACTTTTCCCCTTCTCCTTCCACATGTTAAACCTATTTAATAGCACGTAATTGCATTTTATTTTTTTTGGCTTACTACCAAAACATGATGAGAAGCTACATTTTTGCTTTGAGGGAGCTCTGGAGAGCCATCAACAACCCAAGAGTTGTTGTAATCATTGCACAAAACAGACATAGACTGATGATTATGCACCCAGATAACACCTCCACCTCCCATACTTACTTAATTTTGGACATATGTTTTGCTTACCTGGTGAATATCAATATTTCCAGGAGTACATTTTTCTGGGATTGTATTTCTCTGTTTGATAAGCATTCCAACCATCTTTTAATCCAAGTCACTAATAATATCAAAGAACATACCGGTAGGTTGAATCCTAACATTGTAGGACCCTAGTTGATACCTTACCCTTCTTTGATAAGGAATATTGGTGAGCTTTCTTTGAGCATGACTTTTGCATCAGCCTTTTATTCGCTTGTCATGCCTCAACCTCCATAACAAAGAAAGAAGTATCTGAACAAGCTTTTTGATCCACATATGTGGAAGAGCACACAGCTGATTTGGTAACCTCTTAGAACCAAGCGGTGATTGGAAGGTGGAAAGTTCTCTGTGACTCCCTTGTCTTGGATAGATCACATCCTGGTCAGTTTTTGAGCAATTTATACTTTTGCTGAGATGGTGGCACAATTAAAATAATCTGACCCAGGGACCTAATAGTTGGAACTAGGAGTTTTCCATCTTATTTATCAGTAATATTGATATAATCCAGGCTATCTTTGGAATACAGAGATAGCCAGGGTGATTGACACTATTGTTCCTAACTACTTTCTTATCTCTTATCTTTCACAGAGCTTATTCAGCCCATTGATTTAGTAGCAAGCTGAAAGTGATGAAGCTGAAAGGACAGCTGGAGCACAAATTTTATCCATTGGGAATGGATGAAATTAAGCATGGATTGAAGACTGTTTGGAGATCTGCTCTGCAGCAATGAAAGCAATAAACAGTACTTAATCACCATTGCACCTGGTGTGTGTTTTTTCATGTTGTGTGATATTTTCATTATTAGGTGATAGGGAGACATACAGAATAGCCTATGGCTCATTTTGTAACGTATGTAATGTATTCTTAACCAGGACTCCAGCACTGGACAGTTCATAGGAATATAATGTTATTAATTACCCCTTCTATGAATTTTATCTTTTTACCTTCACAATGATATGCATATAACTATGTGGAGATATAATAATTATAATATATTGCTTCCAGTTCTGTGTTATGGGAGGTGGGTGAGTGAGGATGTGTTCCCATGGTCTAAAGGAGCCATGTTCTCTGTTGAAGAAATGTAATAATAATAATAATGATGATAAAGTTGGAAGGGACCTTGGAGGTCATCTAGTCCAACCCCCTGCTCAGGCAGGAAACCCTATACCATTTCAGACAAATGGCTGTCCAGTTTCTTTTTAAAAACCTCCAGTGTTGGAGCATTCACCGCTTCTGGAGGCAGGTTGTTCCACTGGTTAATTGTTCTAATTGTCAGGAAGTTTCTCCTTAGTTCTAGGTTGCTTCTCTCCTTGATTAGTTTCCACCCATTGCTTCTCGTCCTGCCTTCAGGTGCTTTGGAAAATAGCTTGACTCCTCTTCTTTGTGGCAGCCCCTGAGATATTGGAACACTGCTATCATGTCCCCCCTCGTCCTTCTCTTCGTTAAACTAGACATACCCAATTCCAGCAACCGTTCCTTATATGTTTTAGTTTATATGTTTCCATTAACCCAAGAGATCTTTTTAATACACTAGCAAGTCTGAAACATTCAGATAAGTTGTCAAGAATGTGATGGACTTACAAATTCAGGTGCAACTGGATGATTTTGATTATCCAAACTCATTTCTATTTGGCTTTGCTTCCTTTTGTAGATGATCTGTGAATTAAACTGAACAGGGACAGTATAGCCACACTTCTACTGGATTTCTTGGCATCATTCAGTACCATTGACTATTGTATGGTCGTCTTCTGGATTATCTAGCAGAATTGGGCTGTAGAGGAATTATTCTATAATTGTTTTGGTCCTTTCTTTGAGGCAGATCCAGACGGTGGTGCTAAAGTACCACTTTCCACTACCTAGGGGATTAACCTATGGTGTTCCAGGGGTTTCCATTTTCTTTTTATGCTGTTCATAAAACCCCTTGGAGAGATCATAACAAATTTTTGGAGCAAGGTAACTGTCTACAGTTCTTTGCCTTCAAACGTCAAGGAGCAATCAGCATCTTTGTACATTGCTTAAATTTGATAGGCTGAATAAAGAAAAACAAGCTGAAATTAGACTTGACTTAAATTGAGATGTTATTAGTCATTAGTAAACTGGATTTGTTATTGGGGGCCTTTTATTAAAATAATAACTAAAATGATCTCCAACAGGGAGATGTGCCTACTCCAAGCAATGCATTTCTCAGCTGGATTCCCACTTTCTGTCCCCCATGTATTTCTTCCACTTTAACAAAAACCATTAAACTAATTCCAAATACACGTGAAGTTTTAGGAACTTTCATCTTCTTTAAAAGGGCAGAGTCAGAAAAAAGTAGTAAACGTAATAAACTGGTAGCCTGGCTAGCCATGGGGTTGGCTGAAGACACCATGGGTGGCTAAGCTGTATGAAAACCAGATGTAAAAACTTTGGCAGGGAGGGAAAAGAGCTACTCCTTCTGTTTATTGGGTAACAGAAAGCAATTAAAAAGTAATGGTTGTGCATTAAAGACATAACTCATAACAAGAAGAACTGAATTCGTTAGCCAGCTCAATAGAAATAGTACCTATTTTGGTTCAATAAAATTTATACATTGTTTAAAATATCACTGATTAACACAGGCTAATGCTGATCATTCTTCAATTGGCATGACATCAACAATTACATAGGTAAAGGATATTTCCAAGATTTATTAATGTAAACAAGGCTTCCAATGACCAATATCCAGACAAAATTATTTTTTTGCAATATTTTTATTACATCAGTAAAAGATAATACAAACTAATATCAAAATGAAGAAGAGAAGATAGGGGAAAAAAGAACAGAAAGTGCAGAAAAGAAAAAGAAAAAATCTATTTAAAAATATTATCCTCATATTCAAAAAAGAGAATGAAGATGACCCAGGAAACTATACACCTGGATATATAAATACTGGGTAAGATCTTTGAGCAGATTATCAAGCAACATGCTATTATTAACAGAAGCTAACCCTCATTTACCACAAACCAGTTGTGCCAAACTATGTTTATTTCCTTTGGATGTCATAGACTATCTGGATCTGAGTAAAGCATTTGACTGGGTGCCTTATAATAATTCTCCCTCATTAAATGGTGTGTGCTAAATAAAACTACTGTTAGATGAGCTCATAGTTGGCTGAATGACTGCACCCAAAGAGTGCTCATTAATGGCTCCTCATCAGCTTGAAAGGAAGTATCATGTAGAGTACCATAAGCCCTGTGCTGTTCAACATTTTTATCAATTACTTGGATGGAGTCAAAGAGATGCTTTAGAATTTGCAGAGGACAAAAAACTGGGAGGATGGAATCTAGATGCTTTAGAAGATGAATAAGATGGACTTTAACAATGTGAAATTTTGCTGTACAATTTTGCATCTGGGTAGAAAAAACATAAGGTACAAATATAGGATGGCAATAGAACATAAGGAAGGGATGAATGTCCTTGTTGAATCCAAGTTAAACATGAGCCATCACTGCAAAAAAAACAAACCCCTTCCTAATATCACAAATGACATTTTGGGATGGATTAACAGGACCATAGTATCCAGATTACAAGACATTATTATACCACTCTGTCCAGCTTTAGAATCCCTTTGGAATACCATGACTAAGTTGGAAAAGAATAGTGGCAGACTGGAGCATGTCCAAAGGATGGCTGCTAAGATAATGAGAGGTCTGGAAACCAAAGTCTGTAAGGAATGGTTAATTCCTGGATACATTTAGCCTACAAAAAAGCTGATATGACAGCAACCTTCAAATATTTGAAAAGTTTTCACACAGTAGCAGTCTTATTCTTTACTACGCTGAGACCAGGTCCAGATCACTGGGCCAAAAGTATAAGGAAAGCAGTTCAGGCTAGACATCAAAAGATGTTTCTGTCTGCACAAGCTATCAACCAATGGAACAGGCTGTACATGAAGTAATGAGTTATTCTTGTCTAGAGGTCTTTGTTCTTCCCCTTTCTCAGAGTTTTGCAGGCACACAACCTACCAATTTGATCCCTCTTTTATTTCATTAGTTAATTCATGCTTTTTACCATTTATTCCTCTTACATTTTAAGCCACTTTCCTCCATAATATGCTCCAGTCATCACCCACATGCTTTATTCTGTGGTTATAGTGAATTTTAGCTTAATTTGGTCAGTAGGTCACAAGTGCAATCTCAGTTTAGCTTTATCGTAAGCATGTTCACTCCATTCTATCTCTGGATCTTTAATATGGAGACTACCTTTCTCAAGATCTGTTTCAAAATCCAGTTAATAGTAGTTGACATTGAAGGTTTTGTTATGGAGTGACTCGTTTATTCATAATTTAAATGGCATGCCCAAGATTCAGAAAATCCACTAATAGTAAACAGAAAATATTTTATCAAGTTTATGCCAATGTATGAGTAAGTTCTGAGCTCTGCTTCTAAAAAGACAGAATTATGAAAGCAATATTGGCTATTTTCCAGTGTCTTATTTATACAAAGTTTCAAAATTGAACCAGTCATTAACCAGCCGTATCACATTATCCCCTTACTCCAGAAGGCAATTATATTTCTAATAAAAACTTCATTTTTGCAGAAAGCAAAATAATCCATAGACAGATGACAATTAGTACTATGTGTGGCTGTTCAGACATATAAGAAGCTGGAGACCAACTTCAGCACTGCATCATAATAAATGGTGAGAAATTTCTCAGAGGTGACAATTAGCCATTAGGTGCATTTCTGTTCTTACCAGCAGCTTTGGAAAACATCACCTGAATGCTGACTCATCTTTGAGAAACAACAGGGAGTCTTCCTTAACTTGGTGCCCTTCAGATCTTTTGTGAATGTCACTCCTAAGAATTCAAGGCACCACAACCAAATTAGGAAAGAGTGGACCAAAAGAGCATGATCCCCCATCATCACCATAACACTTTGAAAAATTTGATTGGAGAACAGAATGAATACCACTCCTGTGCCAAAAACTCTGACTTGCATTCCAGCATGTAGAATCCTGCAATGTGTCCCAGACAGGTCTCTCTGCTCTGTAAGTGAGCCCTTAGCATGCCAGAACCTCCAAATGGATGAGGCATGACTTTAAGAAGACACAGGAGACTTCAATAAACACTCTCCATCTGTTTTGACAATAGAAGTTGGGCAGCTGGCCCATATGACTATATTGGGCCTTCAAGATTTCATTGGTGGACTTAAGGCAGTTAGAAGTTCTTTTCTCCCTTGTTTGGTAGTTACAGAATTGGTCTAGAATTGTTAAAAAGACTTCCATGTCAATGTGAAAGTTGGGCTTTTTTCATCTCCAAAAATTGAGGGCCAATCATTGTTTCTTCTTCATGGAAAACTTTGGAAGAGTCTTCCTTGGTGCAATTTTTGTACCCAATACAATCCAATTTGCATGACTCTAGATTTTCTCAATATTCTTCTAAGAGTATAGCTTATATGGTTATTTCAGCGGGCAGGACTGGCCTAGGGGTATTTTAAATTGGCTTTTAAAATTTTTTTAGTATAAGCGGCCTATTGAATATCTATTTTTAATTACTTTTAAATTTTGTATTATATTGTATTATTGTTTTTAAGTTGGCTGTAAGCCGCCCTGAGTCCTCCGGGAGAAGGGCGGGGTATAAATTTAATAAAACTAAACTAAAACTAAACTAAACTAATCCCTGATTGATTGGTTTTTGGATTTTCAATGTTTTCCATCAACATGGTTGCTTTTGCTTTCTAAAATTATAAGAAGAGGTATAAAGAAGATATAATTTTTACAAAT